ATATTAAAATGTAATACGAGAACAAAAAACTAGCTACAAAAACATAAGCCGGATGTATATTAAAATCATACATTGTCATATCCGAGTCACCTTGTAAAAATCATTATGCCAACATGAACACACATTACATAATATATTGAACGTATCAAGGGTCAATGTCCATAAGTCTTGTCTTTTTCACTTGTTTCAACCAATTCCTATCTGGCTGTAGCTGTTCATTTCCACGCACATCTTGAAGAGTCCTTTTCCACTTGTTTCCACCAATTCCTATCTGACTGTAGCTGCTCATTTCCTTTTCCACTTGTTTCCACCAATTCCTATCTGACTGTAGCTGCTCATTTCCACATCCTGGAGGGTCAATCTCCATCAGTCTTGTCTTTTCCACTTGTTTCCACCAATTCATGTCTGGCTGTAGCTGCTCATTTCCACATTTTGGAGAGTCAAAGTCCATCAGTCTTTTCTTTTCCAGGTTTTTCCACCAATTCTGATCTGATAGTATCTGCTCATTTCCACATCTTGGAGGGGCAGCTAGGTTAAGGACACCCATATTCCACATCCACCTGTTCAGAGTTAAAACAAACGAAACAAAATGATAAATACAATGGTCCTTTTTTTAACACTCACTTTTATTTTCCATAGATATTGTAAATATAAAATGATGTGCAACTTATACTGCCTAAATTACATACATTAACTGAATATAGAATAAAAGCTAATGATTACGCTGTACTGTATAGCATCACTAACTAGTTTGACATGATCTTGCTGTACCTAGATGAAACCACTGACTATAGTTTGGCATATTTTCTCTGTAGAGTGGGACGGATCAAGCTATTATTATAAGTATCAGAATTAAAATGAAAGAAGCATGAGATGATCAAAATAGACATTTTCATGAATAAATTAATCGATATCGATGTTTTTGAAAATCAAAGGTGGAGGACCAAAAATTTGGTGGATTCGACTGGTCGATATTATGAAGATATTATTGTATAAACTTAATATTGCCACAGTATTACTTTATATTAATACCCTCCATTTTTAAAAAAAAAACCAAAAAACAAAACAAAACAAAAACAAAAAAAAAACTCCGTTTAAATCGGAATTTAGTTGTTTTTTTGTTTTTTTTTTTTATTTCAGACTGGTAATAAAATTATCATATAAAATAGCAATATTAGAACTCACGGTCCACATACATGTACTAGCCTTAGCCTTTTGTGCTCAATATATATGATACATGTATATTCATATAAAGTATTGAATAACATAATGTTTCTTTGCTTGTTACTTAGGTACGAAGGAGAGTATATTTAGAGGCAAACATTGCTTGAGAGTGTATCTGTCGTATAAGAGCATCTAATTATTTTTGCTGAAGACACGTGCATTATTTCACACAGGAAAGATGATGATGGACGGATACAGGTAAGTCACAGGAGGTCCATAAGCAAGTTTCATTCGCTCATAATGAATTACATCATTGTAGAAACCTAATCAATTTTATAACTATGCTGATTTCAACCAATTTTATCAAGACTTAGGTTGTGAGCTTGTTGTTACTTAACATTGTTATACAAATAGTTTTTTCTGGAACTGCTCTAATAAGAAAAAATAAAATTTGGTTCCCTTCTTTCGTAAGACAACTTTTTATAGGGTCATGTATATATGATATTAAGAATACATATGACCGGGCCTGGGCTGTGAATAAACTATGGTTATTTTTAGAAAGAATAACATTGAGAGTAGGACTTTCCCCTGGGAGAAAATCTCACAATAGAGCCAAAATTCCCCTCTTTCTTTTCTCAGATAGGTTTTCCTTCTTTTTTTTTTATCAATGCGTCAATCATATAGACAATATTTTGGCTAAAATTTTATATGACAATATTTTCAACTCAAAAATTTACAAATTTAGTAAAAAAAAGAAAAACTTTCAAAAAAATAGATAAAATCATTTAGTATCAACCTAAAATTTTAATTTTAACTTATTGGAAATTGTACTATTAAACTCAATCAAAATGATAACACTCAATGTCTCTCGGCAAAATTAATATCAGGCCACACTCAGTGATTTTATAATTTGTTTTCCCTCTAAAAGCCCAGTATTTTATCTCAGGACCAATCCTTTTTACAACAAGTGTGTGAGAAAAATTCTGAAATTTATGGTATTGAAACGTTCCATTGAATAGAGAAGCTCTTCGAGGAAAGACAGAAATTCAAAACCCAAAAACAAACAATACAGGAAACACTGCTTTTGCATGCCAAAACATAGATATGTCCCCTCGACCCTAGCAGTGCAGTATTAGATTTGAAAGCGGAGAACAAATAGTGCGAGATACTCTCCCAAAGGTTTGCAAAAAAATTACTAGTACCCAACTTTAATCCATATTATGTACAAATAGTTTGAAATACAATTGGAAAAAAAATCTTTGTCAGTTGTCAGTTTAAGCAAAAAACAAGCTTCGGTTATCTGTTTATAAGGAAAACAGTATGAAACATAGAATCCTTTTAAAATAAAAGTCACCTTTTTTTCTCTTGATTAATATAGTCAACATTTTGTCCAACCGAATACATTGTACCAATTGATTTTTAGAAACCATTTTGACCAGATGAAAAGTTTAGGATTTAATTCTTCAAAAGAATTGGTTGGATTATAATATTTTAGAATCCCATACCTCGATTGTTTCAATGAAAGTGGTTGCCATTTTGAAGAAGGGACACTTATTAAAATGTGCCGCCCATCCTCTCTAATACATAAGCGCAGTCATGATATTTCATTTTGGGAGAATTGGCTCGGGGGAAATCGCAGTCATAACTATTTCACAGAGTAAGATTTCCCCCTGGAAAATTGAATCTAATGTGGGATTTCTATGGGGGAAATCCTACACCAGAGCTCATTTTCCGATGGAAAATACTACTCTAGGGCCAGTTTTTCGGGGGAAAATATTTTTGAGGGGAAAACCTACTCTACAAGACTGTTCATTTCAAAAACGGATTAAAGCCAAAATTATAATGTAGTGATTTGGATGGTGGTTGTGTTTTATATTTACTACTTCATAATATTTTTTTCGCTTTCTGCTGTAATATAATGGCACCGTACTTATTTTAGAAGTAAACGTATTTTAGCACCTTAACGCTATCTGCTTCTAATCCAATAACTCCTGTACACGCTAATTCACATACCCACGTGTTAAGATTCAAATTTCAAAAGTCATTCTCTCCTTTTATTTGAAATTTATTCAACAGCTGTTTGTTTTAGATGCAATATTTAATTTGACCTTGAATATTGACAAAATTAAGAAAATTGCTGAATCAGCAAAAGATGCAAAACATGTATATTTTTAATGTCTATATTAAAACTATCTTTAGATCTGATATTTATGGGTTGGGTTGTTAAAACACTTAAAATGTATATCTTTATTATACCAATGAGGAAGAATAATTTTAAAAGTATTTACATTTCATTTCAAGCCTCTTAAGATAAGTAATTTTTCTTCCTTCTACATGAAAATTGACCATTTGCTACGGAAATGACTTTGGCCAGGTAACCATAGTATTCATAAAGCAAATTTTTTTTTTTCATTTACATATAAAAGGATCATATTGCAAAAGAAATTCTACGTGTGGAAAATCATTAAGTTCTCATTAAAACTTTTAAACCAGTTTTAACTGATTTTCACATGAACTAGTACTTTAAACCAATACATGTCGTTTTTAATTCGCTAAGAACTACGCACGCTATCTCTCGATTCCCGCCTGCATTTTACATCCATTTATTTCAAAGCTAAATGCAATTTGGCCATAAAATCTTTTTTGAATGCAAAGAAGAGTTCTATGGTAATTGATTAATAATTTTAATACCAGTTTCAAATAGTTAATTACTCATAATTCCAACTCTTTTTATAAGGGTAGTAGACAATGTTTTCCATTGAAATCGGGCTTCAAAAGGTCACTAGATTTTAAAATATTCTTGGATATGGATAATTGTCCCTTAAATCTTCTCTTATTTTTAACTCATGTAAAATTAAACATATATGATTAATAAAATACAGTGTACATTGTTTAAGTTGTAATCCCCTTTGAAATTGGAAAAAAATGCTGGTTTTTTTTTTTGTCTCTAAACACGAGGGGGGGGGGCTAAAATATTTTCCGTTTTCCATTGATTTCTATAGTGACAAACACAAGTACCAAAATCATATTTTTCTCCCTCTCTGTTTTCCCAAATAAAATATGTTTTGTGAAAACCCATAGAAATCTCTCTCTCTCTCTCTCTCTCTCTATATATATATATATATATTTATATATATGTATATAACTTTTGAAAACTGACTTGGAGGTAGGCAGCAGATTCAAGTTCAAATTTTTATTTAAGACAAAGACCCAACAGAACAATACTATCATTCGCAGTTCTTTTTGATTGCACTAATCAGATGATAACGAAGATTGCAATAAGTTTTTGAGTGCGTTTATTTATGTACGTTTAGAAATGTTCCACAGAAATCATTATAGTGAATAATGGAAACTCATAGCTTTATCAAAAGCAAAACTTGGGTACTGAGCACCATAGGACATTCATATTCTGTCTCAATTGGTCTATTTGATTGTTCCAAAACAAAAAATAAAAGCCATAAAATAATACCCTTGTATTGCTTTTTTTATTTGAATACAGAGGAATGTTATAACTGTACCGTAAAATATTTCTTTGTAGTTTCCTTCTGACACTTATAATTTCCCCTTTTGTGGATAATGTGTGGAAAGAAGGCAACAGAGAATGTACATGTACATGTATGAAAATGGCAAATTATTGTGCAAGAAATAAAGTACCTAGTAATGATTTGGAAAATCATAAAGATGCAGAGCCCATATGGAGGAAAAAAACTACCGACCAAAGCGACCGATTTGAGAATCATTTTACTGAGCTTTCAAATAATATATCCCACATCATATCAGAGAACGAGCGAAGGGAACAAGATAGAAAAAGAAAAGAAGAAACCATTGATAAGACCATGCACAACCTGATGGGCATAATTCAACAGATTCAGAAGGAGATCAGAGGAGACATGAAAAGGCTTAGGAAAGACATTGAAGAAAATTTCAATACCACTCAGCAACATTTTTCGAATGTGTCGGATAAAGTACGATTCCATACCAACATTGAAATTGACAGCATGAAAAGTTTTGTTCATGAGAAAGGTAATGATAAGAATAAATATTCAAGTGAATCTAAATTATTTTCTTTCAACTTGTCTTCATATCATGTAAAGAAAAATAACCAGATTTATTTTATTTCAGTCTTCTACATATCTGTGGTATTTGTAATGGTATTGATTATGATTGTTTTCCGATGTTTTTGCAAGCGACCGTCAAAGAATTTGGTATGTGTATAACATAAAAAGAACCATTTAATAAGATAAAAGTTAGAGAAATATAAAGAAATTTAATGTCATATCAGGCATTCTGGGTATTCTTAGTAACAGAAAGATAAAAGTCTCTAACAATAGACACACTTTCATGAAATAACCAGTTCTATTAAATATATTCTGACTCGAGTACATCTTTTATGCGAGCAGACATTCAAATTAAAGTTTCATTTGTATCTTTACAGCAGCAAGCACCGTTGAGAGACGACGCAAAGAAACTTTCATATTTTGAAAATAATGTTGCTGTTGTTAGTTTTTCGGAACACAATGCAAACCTTCATCTAAAGATCGCAAAATCTGTGACAGAAGATTTCAAATGCAATCAAATCATTCTGGGTGGAGTGAGAAATTTATCTGGTCTACAATTAACTTCAAAGGTGCGTGCATCTTATTTAACAAATCTTCTTAATGCTCAGCTAAAATATTCATGTTAAATCTAGTGTATTAAAATATAGTACATACTCAGGTATATATGTTTATTCGGTGTATTTTTCTTTGTTGATATCCATTGGAAATCTAAAACATTCAACCACCTTTGAACTCACTCTAAACCTTTTCATAGGACTAGAACACATAATAAGAACTACATCCCTTAAAATACATTGGGAACACCATAGAATATAATTATTGATTTTGCTCACATTTTAATTGAAAACAAGTCATTGTGAAAAAAATTAACCATTTTAAGTTAAATTTTTTATCAATTTATTTATTTTTTTCCACACAACATTCATTTACGTTTTCCTGTCAAAATTCAAAACGGCTCTTCGGTCTATTACCTACACCAGTTCTGAAAGGCGTTGATTCATCATTCCTCTGCTCACTCATATAAAACATTTCCATTACGCTTATGATTTTCCAAAAGAAATCTTGTTTATAAATTATAATTTCAGCATACCTTGCGGGCAAAATTTTACAGAAATGGCTTGTTAACTTGACAGTTTTTTAAAGGAATAATTATTGTCATTTATAACAGTTAAAGTTATCCCTCTTATCAGAGTATCAATGGACCTTAAATCTAAAATAAAGACAAATGAAACTAACAGGTTAAAAGATCACAGAACGTAGATATAAAACTGAATTATTACTTTGGATGTTGTCGGTCGTATAACACAACACCTGGCTGTGCCGACAAATTATTATACCGCGTTAATACGTGGTATTCAATTTGTCGGCACGGCCGCCAGGTGCTGTTATACAAACAGCGACATAAAAAATGAAATATATGGAGATAACGAACAGTATTCAAGCTCAAAAGTCCATTATACAATACAAAATAGGAGCAGAGCAAACACGGACCTCCAAACATCAGAGGTGGGATCAGGTGCCATGGAGGAGTGAGCATCCCCTGCCGACCGGTCACACCCGCCGTGTGCTCCTTGTCATGATCGGGAAATAATTCAATGCTTAAATAAAGTGATACAATTGAAAATGTCATATTTTTTCTTTCTTTTTTATTTTGACCCGTTTTTTATCATCAATAGGTTTGCTTCGTATTTGTGGATAAAAATGAGAGGAATATCATTCTGGAAACAGACAATGATGTCTCACAGACAAAGTCTGATTTCGTCCAATCTATCATCAAACAAGGTGAACAAGATTTAGTTAATGTTCCTCTGTTTAAAATATTGTAAATATTGTGTCTGGTAAATTTATTTTCATTTCATTTTAGGTTGTGAATAAACACTTGGTTTAATTCATACATTTTCGCAACATGATTTACTAACTGAAATCGAATTTTAAAAAAAATGAACTTCATCAATTCATTAGAGATACATGTGTATAAGGGGCAAAATACATGTACATTTGTATATCGATTTACTAGCTATGAGCACAAAAAAACGCATGGGTACATGTACTTGTTGTCAAGATGGACATTAAAGTCATTAACTGTTAAAAAAGTTAGCTGTTTTTTTTTAACGACAATTTATGATCATTGAAAATGAAAAATTATATTATTTTAATTTATATACAAAAAAAATAATCTTGATTACATACATGTATATGATAATTATTTCCATTTTAGGTAACACACAAGTACTTGTTATTTATTGTCAACACGAGAATTCCAATAACCTGACGAGGCTTTGTTACCCTAACCTTGGAAACGTCCAAAACCACAAAACGCTCAGTCAGCTGAGAAAACAAAACTGTGTGCTCAGTATCGAGTCAGAATTCTCCGCCTATCAGAAGGACTACCTCAGAATTTTCCTTAACGAAACACTTACTTAATTAAACTAATAATGACTATCAAGCAGCTTCGACGTGCACAAAAGATTCTTCGAAGCTGGGAGAGATGACCGAGATGAATATCTGATAGTTATCTATTTAAAGAAAAATAATATTATAGTCTATGGGTAGCTTTAAAATCCTTACTTCAATAGAGTTGTTTGTTTTGTTCCATTAGTCTACACACAAATTTTTCAAAGATTTTAATGTAATTATGGGTAAAATAACGTGTTTTGAGGCACAGAATATTTAATTCGAGTGTTTACTCTTAATACTCTTAATATGGATATACTGCTGTGATTAATAAATTAAAATTTAACTAAATTATGATTAGTTTTTAGATTAACTTTCTTATATTACGATATTAGTAGTGTCATATCGACAGTGAATCATCAAATATCAATGTTTCTTTCAACGACTGTAATCAAGGTAAGTTTGTATTAATAGTCGCTTTAACGTTGTTTAATTCACTTATTACAAGAAATTGCAAACCGTAGACTAGTGTGTGATTTAGAAGAGCACTACAGTGACTACCTAAGTGAATGCAGTCTTGATTTGTTTTTATGTCCTCTTTTAAAGGAAAAAAAACGAGCTATATTGTAAGTGAAATTTTAATTTACAAAATTCAGTGTTAATTTTTATATAAACTGTGCCAATCTTCAACACCAAGTCCAAATAGCAGGGATGGGGTAATCGTAATCGAGTAATCGTAATCGATTGTAATGAAAACTTTTTTTCAAGTAATCGACAGTAATCTGTAATCGAAGAGATTTTCGATTACTTGTAATCGTAATTTAATCGATTACAGCTAAAAATTTCAATGTAATTATAATTACTTTTTCGATTACTTTCGATTATTTTATACATAAATGGGTGTTATTTTGGAGAATTATTTCCAGTCAGTCACACATAAATATCAAGTATAAACCACCTAGTGTAATGTTTGGATTTCCTAACTTTTATTATCATAAGTTTAATAATGTTCTCAATAAAATTTGCATTAATGACCTTTTGGTCTAGTATTAAATAATTCAGAAGTGTATTTCAACCCTTTAATAATAAAATATACAGATTTTTCGTGTGCATTTTACATTTGACCAACTGTCCTCTTGCTGCATGTCCTTTTTCATATTTTCAGATGTTGAAAAACTTTGTCTTTATTGTAATAGAAAATTATAAATAGCAAAAACAGATTTAAAAGCTGTATTAAATATAAATAATTTGGTAAATAAACTACATTGTACTCGAAAAAATAAGAAGATGGAAATACTTGTCCATATCTGAAAATGTTTAAACAACTTCAAACTTGTTTTAGTAACTTTAAAAAATTTGCAAAATCATTCTCATGTTTTCATTCAAAATTGTAAGGTTGCTTTTATATCAGTAAGAGGTTATAAGTGTCTGTAAGAGAGGGAGTGTGTCACTGTGTTTGCTTATCTTGGCTAATTAATTGAATGAGACATCCTGATTTGCAGATAATGAGGTGTAAACTGTGAACTACCTAGTGTTCAACTTTCATTCCATTCAAGACAAACAATGTTATTAAAACAATAACTCTCAAAACACTTATTTCAATACAGAATGAAATTGTGCTATTAGTTTCATTGCTTAAAGACACATTTAATTGACATGTTTATTACTAGGAATTCTAATTTACTTATTTTTTTGGAAAAAGACACATACAGGAATGTTTAATGTGTACTATCAACATACGGACGGCCCAAATACTTCTAATGAAGTAATTCACAATAAAATATTAAATAATTTTTGCAACAAGTCCATAAATATGGAGGTTCAGATCCATGGTTGATCCATGGTTGAAAGGAATAATTAATTCCATGGCAATTTTATTGTAGGAATCATGTCTCCACTTTCCATGGTAGAGAATCCCTCATTTGGGCATTTAGTGAGAATTTTAGCCAGAACAAAACCTTTAAAGAATCTGCACTGAAACTACACATTCAAACTTCAGTGGATAACATCAACATTTACCATTTAGATATTGCTTTGATATTTGAAGGGATAAAAACTTGGAAGTAATCGATTATTAATCGATTACATCTTCCAAAGTAATCGATTACAATCGATAACAGGACAAAAATGAGTGTAATCGATTAATAATCGATTACACAAAATTCCTCTAAGTAATCGATTATTAATCGATTACATTTTACAGTAATCGTGCCCATCCCTGCCAGATAGTGTTCAGTAATTTGGTGTTTTGAAGATTTGGAATTTTCATTTCCACTCTGAGGTCATATGGGGGTCAAAAATGACGTTATTTTTTGCAAAACAATCCTGGTTCCCAGAACTCCTCTTACATTTTACGCAGTAACCAAATGGTCTTTTGGATCATGATTGTTGGTGTCTTGTTGTCATGCAATAAGGTTTCGGAATTTTCATTTTTAACCTGGGGGGTCAAATGGGGGTTGGAAAATGTCATTATTTCTATTTTAAAAAACACAAAATCCCAGAACTCCTCTTACATTTTACGCTGTAGCATGATAACCTTATGGAAGATTATTGCTGGTATTCAGTAGATGGTCAATAAGGTTTAAAAAGTAGATGGTCAATAAGGTTTAAAATTATTCATTTTCAGCCTCGAAATCACATAGAGTCAAAACATGACGGGTTTTTTTTTCTTTAAAAAAAAAATGGTTCCCAGTACTCCTCTAATATTTTACGCAATAGCCAAATCATCCTTTGAAAATTATTGCTTTTGTCCTGTAGTTTTGCAATAAGGTTTTGGAATTTTCATTTTCTTCCTCGGTGCAAATGGGGGTAAAAAATGACGTTTTTTTCTACAAAACAACCCTGGTTTCAAGAAGTCCTCTCACATTTAACGCAGTAGCCAAATTATCTTTTGAAAGATGATTGCTGGTGTCCTGTAGTTATGCAATAACATTTCGGGTTTTCATTTTTAACGTGGGGGTCAACTGGGGGTTGAAAAATGTCATTTCTTTTTTAAAAAAAACAATCTGGTTCCCATACCTCCTCTTACAATTTACGCAGTAGCCAAATGATCTTTTGGTCGATGATTGTTGGTGTCCTGTAGATGTGCAATAGGGTTTGGGAATTTTCATTTCCACCCTGGGGTCAAAAATGGCTGTTTTTTTTCTACAAAACAATCCTGGTTTCTTGAACTTCTCTTACATTTTATGCAGTAGCCAAATGGTCTTTTGGAACATGATTGCTGGGGTCTTGTACTTATACAATAAAGTTTCGGAGTTTTCATTATTAACCTGGGGGTCAAATGGGAGTTGGAAAATGTCATTTTTTCTATTTAAAAAACTCAAGATCCCAGAACCCCTCTTGCATTTTACGCCGTAGTGTAATAACCTTTTGGGAGATTATTGCTGGTATTCTGTAGATGGTCAATAAGGATTAGGAATATTCATTTTCAGCCTCAAAACCACATAGGTAGAAAAATGACATTTTTCCCTTAAAAAATATGTTCCCGGAAGTCCTATTACAGTTTACGTAGTATCCAAAGTCTCTCTCAGAGGGTGATTGTTGGTGTCCTGTGGATTTGCAATATGGTTTCGGAATTTTCATTTTCGCCCTGGGGGCCAGTTTGGGTTTGAAAAAAATATGCACAAAAACCTGGTACTCAGTGCATTATGTCAGTGCAACAGGATTATATTTGCTTTAAGATTTTGAATCTCAACCATTATTTTACCTCACTTTCTAAAGAAAGTTCGACTATATTGTCGTTATCCTGGTCTGTCACACTTTCTTCTTCCTTAGACTCCTCTTACAATTTAAGCAGTAACCAATTCTTTTTTTGGAATGTGATAGTTTGTGTCCTGTGGATGTGCAATAAGATTTCCGATTTTTTTTTTCACTCTAGAGGTCAAACGGGGGTTTTGAACGTTTTTATTTTTCCAGAAATCTCGTTCCCAAAACGCTTCATACATTTCTCCCAGTAATCAAATCGTCTTTTGGAAGGTAATTGTGGTGACCTGTAGAGATTTTCCGAGGAGGGGTAGTTGAAGCAAATATGGCATGGAAACAAGTAAATTGGAAGTATATTTGATTGATTCCAAAGTCAATAGAGGTCACCTGGGTGATTTTGAAAAGTCATCAGTTTACAGCTTTGGGCATATGATATCTTTCTCTTCCTTTTTTGTGTTTTATAAAAAGCAAATTTTCTTAAACTACTTTTAGAATCAGAATCTACTTCATTACAATCTTTAATTTCAGACCGGTAAGTAAATTATTCTTTGAAATACTGAGAGGGCCATATGATCACCTGGGATTTCTATGCTCAATTAGATAGAATTTGATACAAGTACATGTAAATTATAGAATAACTACTGGTATTGTAGCTTCTTAGCTACCCAAGTACAAGGGAACTAGCTTTCATTCAGATGCTTACTTACTTGAGGGTATCACTGTCTAACGACAGCATCTAGTTAGAGTCTGCATTTTTATAAGCCCGCGCTTTACGCTTGATCGAACGGATATAATTTATTCTGGACGAAAGCAAGATGGTCACTAACAGAAGCGTCTATTATTAGTGTGCCCGCATTCGGAAACTTGAATGTGATGTGAGAATTGGGTCGAGAAGCGTGCTTAATTAATGTGTTTGAAGTTCAAGTCGGTTCATGAATATTATTAACGAAATTATGTGTTGAAATAATTTCTCGAATCATTTGCGTTTGTGGAGCATTAGGAAGATCTATATTCACGTCATCTATCTCAATATCCCCGCTTGCCAATAAAACAAAAGCTAAGAAATTTACATATTTAATGTGCACATATTTCTTTACAATTAATGCCATGCAGTGAGTGGCCACTTTGAGCGTAATTTTTAGTAAATGCACATGGTAACACTAAAAATAAATATGTTATATATGTACCTCTTCCTGGTAAATAAAATAGACCGATAGTAGCGCGATTGAATTACCTACAATCTACTTTGTGATACATTTCTAACTAGTGAGTAAATGGCTGCAATCAATTCCTGCCAGAGTTTTAACTACTATAGAAAATTTCCGTAATTTGGTCATAAATTTAGTTGCATGAATAGAATTTGACTTTTTATCATGAAATTATAAGTAAAACATACAAAAATATGGGAAAATATATAACAAGAAAATAACAAAAACAGTTGTAACAAAAGTAGTATATACATGGAAGTTATGTCATAAACAAAACAAAATACATATGAGTAAATAAGAGTCGTCCA